ATCTTCAGGCAAGCTTTATTTCTTAGATCACAAATAAAATATCACTACAATGCCTTTGAAGTAGCTACAGAATATTAAATACATAGTGAAAAGCCTATAGAAAGGCTCACACAAATAATAAAGAACTAAAACTATTCAGAGGATAAAAACCAGAGGATGGGGATGAGCTGTGAAGCAATGTCTTCTAAATTTCACATGATTGCTGTACACTTGAGCTAATAAAATGATGGAGCTATCTGCAAAAGCTTGAGCCAATCAACATTGACCATGGATGGGGAGGAGCTTATGAGGCCCCTCCCCTCCCATAGAAGCTACTAATTGCTAATATTGCTGGGAAAGGAGGTCTTAATAGTCAGAAGTGGTCATGGTAATAAATAACCCAACTCCCTGTGCTCATGTAAACAAGCCTAATGCAAGTCAGTGAAACACTCACACACACACACACTCACTCACATACACACACACACACACACACACACACACATGAAAATGAAGGGAGAAGAGGACTTGTTGGGAGAAAGGACTCAGAGCAAGAGGCAGCGACTGTTGAGAGATGGCAACATAGGAACTGAGGGAAAGTGTTAATCCCAGGCACTAACCAAGTTGTCTCCTATGATGAGTCACCAAGGCAAATAGTGCAGAAGGAGAGAGTGTTGTGGGCCATCATAACAACAGCAGATGGAGACTGAAGGAATGAAGGCATCAGTAGGAGACATAGCTAACCACCAGGGGAGCAAAGGTCACCCGCCAAAGAGAAGAGTTATCGTTTGGGTTGGATTATTAGATACAGGCTTAAATTTTTAATCCTTATAAAAGAATTTGTGTTAAATTAAAATAACCACAAAGGCATATCTACCCAAGCTCCTGATAGGACTGAAGGATCAATGGACTGAGAAGGCTGACTCTTGATTGTGGAAGAAGGATGCTAAACAGCCCCATACAGGACTCCCTACCTCCTTTCCTCATATCAGTATAGCCAGGGATTTGGAGGAGGAAGTGCTGTGGTCAGGAGGCCATGATGGCCCACACAGGAAACAACCATAATGAGGGACATTGGGTTAGGATCCCTCTGAGTCATCTACCATACCCTGACCCAGTCTCCCCTGATCCCTGGGGACCTCAGCTTCCTGCTAGCTCACCAGGAGAGGGTGACTATGAGGAAGAGATTGTCCAGAGCCAATGGTTTACCTCTGGAGGCTAGGAAGTGTGAGTGCCAGATGCCACAGAGGACAATTGGACTCCCTAATTGGCCACTGGAGACTGCAAGTCCCAGCTCTATCATGCAGAGCATCCTTCCCAACAGTATGAACATAATATAGATGCCCACACACTGCTCTAATAACAGACATGAAAGAGGAAGAAAGGCCAGCAAACCCATACCTCACACTTCACACGACACAGAGTCTGCTGCAGCCAGGACTTGCACACATAGACTCCCAGTCCAGGTCTATGCCTCTGCCCATACCCACCTTATTCTGTTATCCAGAAAGCCATAGCTGACCTCAAGAAGAAAAAGAAACTCTTAATATCTATCTTCAGCACTGCCCAGCTTCAATATCAGGGGGACCTGAGGAGCATGAATGATGGTATCTGACTTTGTGTGAGTCTTGAGTCTTGAGTCTCAAACTGGATAAGCTAACATCAACACGTTATCTGTGAAGGATGCTGCAAGTAGGAGACACCATACATTAGGGACAGTAGGGATGGGTGTTCAGGAATAATTGTGGACTAGCTCTGTAGGCAAAGGTCTCCTATTGTGGTCAAGCCTCACATTAGTCCAGGTCCCGAAGTGCTGGGGGGCTCGATGCAAGGTCACCATCTTGATCACCAGCTCCAAATCTGCAACCCAGAAGGCTGAAGCTCAGCATCCATCAAAGGACATAATGACGCTGCTGGCTTAGGAGGGGCAAGACTGAGACGAGCACAGGCTCTCCCTTCACTGTCACTGTAACCCTGATCTCCAACAGCAGAGCTGTCCATGGGCACCTGCTCCTTCTACATATGTCTCTAGAAGGATTACATCCTTGGCAAGCTGGAGGGATTATGCTTGTCCTTGCTCCAACAGGAAGCATAGGACACTCTGCAACATGGACATATCTATACATATCTCACTGGTCACAAAGGAAACCCATGTGGTAAGTACTTCAATCCCTGTGAGTGTGTCAACTGTGAGCACAAAGTTTCCTACGTGCCTTTGATCTTGTGTGGGAAAGTCAGCTCTGTAGTATATGGCAGACGCATATAGAGTCCTGTAGATTCCATGACCTTACTGTGTGCAGTGTATGGTAAGACAGTGCAACAGCTGAATCCCTACAGCTGAGAGATGCCCTGAGCTTAGAGGATAATGTAGAACAAGCATTCTGTTACTCTCTAGCCAGGATCCTAACTCTGGAAGTCTCCCATATTCCTCCTGGGGACACACAATAGCAGTCATAACTAGCCCTACATTTGTATGTATTCCAGACTAGACATAGTGAGAAGAAACAGTGACCATGAATTGCCCGAAGACACTGGGTAGAGGCCTGCCTTATCAGGTTTTATTTAATTTTTTATTTTTTAAAAAAGAGAAAATTGTTTTATTCTGGATTCTTTTTTAAAATTTGAAATTCTACATTTTGAGAAGCTTTTTCTTACATTTTAACAATTTTTTTAAAATTTATTAAAAATTTCTACCTCCTCCCATCCTCCCATTTCCCTCCCACTCCCCCCACTCCCATCACTCTCCAGTCCTAAGAGAAGTCAGGGTGCCCTGCCCTGTGGAAAGTCCAAGCCCCCCCCCCCCCGCATCCAGGTCTAGGAAGGTGAGCATCCAAACAGACTAGGCTCCCAAAAAGCCAGTACATGCAGTAGAATCAAAATCCGGTGTCATTATCATTGGTTTCTCAGTCTGCCCTCATTGTCAACCACATTCAGAGAGTCTGATTTGATCACATGCGCGTTCAGTCCCATTCCAGCTGGCCTTGGTGAGCTCCCATCAGAACAGTTCCACCATCTCCGTGGGTGGGCGCACCACTCGTGGTCCTGACTTCCTTGCTCATGTTCTCCCTCCTTCTGCTCTTTATCTGGACCTTGGGAGCTCAGTTAGTTGCTCTGATGAGGGACTTTGTCTCTATCTCCATCCGTCACCGGATGAAGATTCTATGGTGATATTCGAGATAATCATCAGTGTGTTAGTGAGGCAAGGCCAATTCAGGCACCCTCTTTTCTGCTGCCCAAGGACCTACTGGGGACATCCCCGTGGACACCTGGGATCCCCTCTAGAGCCAAGTCTCTTGCCAACGCTAAAATGACTCCCTTAATGTAGATAACTTCTTCCCTGCTCCTTATCTGCCCTTCCCCCATCTCCACCCTCCCACTTCCCCAAGCTCTCTCTAGTCTTTCCCTTCTCCCTTCTCTCTCTCCCTTTCCCCTTCCCCCAAGCCCACCCCATACCCCTACTCCCATGCTCTCAAACTTTTGCCCAGTAATCTTGTTTGCTTCCAATTTCCAAGAGGATCTATGTATGTTTTTCTTTGGGTTCATCTTGTTATTTGGCTTCTCTAGGTTTAATGTCCTTTGTTTATGGCTAGAGTCCACTAATGAGTGAGTACATACCATATTCATCTTTTTGGGTCTGGGTTGTCTCACTCAGGATAGTGTTTTCTATTTCCATACATTTTCAGGCAAAATTCAAGATGTTATTATTTTTTTTTACCACTGAGTAGTACTCTAATGTGTATATATTCCACACTTTCTTTATCCATTCTTCCATTGAGGGGCATCTAGGTTGTTTCCAGGTTCTGGCGATTACACATAATGCTACTATGAACATAGTTGAACCAATGCTTTTGTAGTATGATTGGGCATCTCTTGGGTAGATTCCCAAGAGTGGTATTACTGGATCCTGAGATAGATTAACTCCCAATTTCCTGAGAAACCACCACACTGATTTCCAAAGTGATTGCACAAGTTTGCATTCCCACCAGCAATAGAAGAGTGTTCCCGTTACTCCACATCCTCTCCAGCATAGGCTATCATTGGTGTTTTTGATTTTAGCCATTCTGACAGGTGTAAGATGGTATCTCAAAGTTGTTTTGATTTGCATTTCCCTGATGGCTAAGGAGGTTGAACATGACCTTAAGTGTCTTTTGGCCATTAGAACTTCGTCTGCTGAGAATTTTCTTTTCAGTTCAGTACCCCATTTTTAAATTGGGTTAACAAAGAGTAAGACCCTGGGAACCCCAACTCTGAGGTTGGAGCAGGGAACAGAGCTAGGAATGAGGGCAGGTTAGAGGCCATGAGTGTGTCCCATATATGTGTGCTCCCCAGGCCTGCTTTTTCTCAGGACATGGTGCTGCCCCCTCAGTATAATTTCCAATATCTAAACACTGGCAAGAACTGCTCACATTAACAAGCAGAGTCTGCATATTGATTGCCACTGTGTGCCAACATTTGAGCCACAGCTGCTAAGGTGAGATCAGAGTCCTGTGAGGTACACAGACAGTCTGAGTCTGGGAAGGGAGGTTTCCTGCTCTGATACCACTCTGCAAAGGAAGGAATCACCCAGCCCAATTTGTTGGAGGACAGAGGATCTTGGCGAACAATTTTGAATCGGTAAGATGAATAACTTGGGGGGAGGGGTGTATTGTGAGACTCAGGAGACAGCTGCTTCAGTGGCACTGCTCAGGGGTGTCCCTTGATAGAGTGAGCACAGGAACCAGCAGCAGGCATAGGGATACTGAGAGTCACTAAGTGTGGAAGCTTCCTTCTATCCCTCATGGCGTAACTCAGGCTTATACACGGCGAGGGCTCAGTACCTCGTGAATTAAGAAAATCAGAGAAAATGTCCCCTTTCAGATCACACCAGCTCATCCTGGAGAACAGAGTAACGAGTGAATTTCATACAGTGGACAGCATGTCACCAACAGAGACCTGCAGCCTGTGGAACATCTGATGCAACAGTTAGGTCTGCTCTCTCTCTCTCTCTCCGTCCATCTAGCTCTCAGACTCTGTTCTCACCCATGGCCACACAAGCCCATAGAAATGGGAGTCTCTCAGCAGTGTCCTTGCAGGGGTTCGTGCTGGTGGGATTCGGGGGAGGTGCAGAGACCCAGGCCCTGCTTTTTGGTGTCATCCTTGCTTTGTACATAGTGACTGTCCTGGGCAACTTCACCATGATAATACTCATCACCCTGGATGCCCGCCTGCACTCCCCCATGTACTTCTTCCTCAAGAACCTGTCCTTTGTCGACCTCTGCTACTCCTCTGTCATTGCCCCGAATGCCCTGGCCAACTTCCTTTCCTCCTCAAAGGTCGTCAGCTTTGAGGGATGTGTCACTCAGCTCTTCTTTTTCTCCTTGTTGGCTACCACTGAGGCTTTCCTCTTAGCTGTGATGGCCTATGACCGTTTCATGGCCATCTGCAGTCCCCTGAGGTACCCTGTGACCATGTGCCCCATGACCTGTGCCCGTCTGGTTCTGGGTTCCTACTGTGGAGGCTGCCTGAACTCCATTGTCCAGACCAGCCTCACGTTCCAGCTGCCCTTCTGCAGCTCCAACCGTATTGACTACTTCTACTGTGATGTTCCCCCATTGCTTGAGTTGGCCTGCGGCAGCACAGCTCTCAATGAGCTCCTGCTCTTCAGCTTCTGTGGGTTCATCATTTTTAGTACAACCTCAGTTATCCTCATCTCCTATGGCTACATCACCGTGACCATCCTCAGGATGCACTCAGGATCTGGGAGGCACAAGGTCTTCTCCACCTGTGGCTCTCATATGATGGCCGTGTCCTTGTTTTATGGAACTGCATTTGTCATCTATGCACAGCCAGGAGCAGTGGCATCCATGGCACAGGGCAAGGTGATCTCTGTCTTCTACACCCTGGTCATCCCCATGCTCAACCCCCTCATCTATAGTCTGCGCAACAAGGATGTGAAGGATGCCCTGCAGAGGCTGGGACAGCGATATTGTCTCATGAAGAAAGGAAGCAAGTAGGGATCATGTCAGCATAATAGAAGGAAACTACTCTCCTTGGAAGACACTAGGTGTCTTTATTTTACTTCTTTCTTTATTATCTTATTTCTCTGGCTTTTCTGAGTTGCCACATCCCCGCATCACTCTTTTATTCCATCCTTTAATCATTTTACCCACTAATCCATGAACATAAACATATGTCTCCCATGTCTCATGAGTGCTCCATTATTTTCCAGGCATTGAAAAATGTGAATGAGGCATTTATTGACATGATAAAGCAAATAATTCTTACTTGGATAAAGCTTGAATCCCTTTCACTTTGGCTTGACGAAAGAGTCCTTGAGCAAGCTTGTGAATCATTGTCAGCACCTCCCAGTGAACTACATAACTTCAGATTTCTCCATGGCCCCTTCCTTCACAGTCACCACTGAATCTAATGTCAGTGCGGTAGGGAGTTCCCTCTGAGCATCTAAGACCGCAGCCCTTAGAAACCGTGTGTTGACTCCTCCTTACATCTCCTTGGCTCTACAGTGGTGCTGCCTCCTCCACCTCCTCTGCTCATGAAGTTGCTCCTCTTGTATCACAATGCATGGCTGGACACAAGGGGAGCCCATATAGGACTGACTCTAATGTATTCCTTAAACCTCCAGTAGTATGAAGCCACTGTTAGAATCAAAATTCAGAGAATCTTTAAGCCCTGGCCTGGCAGAACATGAATTTGTCAAAAGTCCTTGATCACCACAGATGTCTCCAAGCAGGGATGAAGTCTCGGTGGCCACAAGAATGTGAGAAGTGGAGAATAGAACATCATTTTCTTGTTGCACATTCTGGAGTTCTATTGAGTTAAGGTTCTCTCTGGCACTGGCCAACAGCTTGAATCTTGAGCTGGAGTCCTCAATGGGCCTCCTTGTCCTTTTCCCCAGCCTCATCCCTCTGGTCCTTCATTTCTGGCTGTTCTGGGATATGGCTCCCTTCCTCACTCACATCCTGTGTCTCACCAGCCAGATGCCCTCCAGACATGAGCTGGTTTATGTCTCTGCCCTGTGTGTCTGATCCCAGTCTTCAGTCCCCTGATGCTCCTGCTCAGGAAACCTACAGAGACAGACCTCCAAGCAGGGATGAAAGCTTTTTCCCATTTCCCCTCCCAGAACACTTTCCAGGCTTCCATCTCCTTCCTGTGGCCATCTAGTCTCCGCCTCCAGACTTGATTCTTGTTTCCTGATTTTATGTTCACCTGGTTTCAAATTCTTCCTTTCTTTGGACAGTTCTGGAACATTCTGCCCTGTGAGTGGCAGGCATCTTGTGTTTAATGACATTCCCTCAATTCTATCTTCTCTACATACATTCCCATTTTCTCATGTGTCCCCAACTCCCTGACACACGCTGAACCCATTGTTTCAGCTGAGGGGAAGAAGTGACCCATACTGTTCACCCTTTTGGCCCTCTCCAGTCTTCACCAGTTCTAATGATCACACATAATTTCCAACACTGGCCAGTCTTCCTCTTTTTGGAAGTCTCTTTCTCTAGGGTCCTGACCCTTCTCATTTGATGTGTCACATGGCAGCAGCGTCTAACCTCTCCTTTGTCCCAATGGAGATGTATATTTTCATAAGCTTTGTGCTGCTCCTTAGCAGTCTTTCTACCTGGGGAGCCTCTTCCAGCTCTTCCTGTAAGCTAGGTCAAACATGAGAAACTCCCTTGGTATCTGTTTCTCAGGAATAACTCTTTCCTTGACTTCATTATTATATCTACATTGGAGAGTAAAATGGCAATAGACTACCAATAGTCTTGTGTATATTTCTTTGCATGTAATGTCTCTTTTCATTTGCTGAATTAAAATCCCCCTTTTATATATTAATTTTGATAATTTATCTTATACACACATGGTTGGTTTAAGTGATCTTTGTAGCTACTTAAAATGTGGTGTCTTTTTCTGATCCCCATATAGGAAGCTTTGTGTCAATGTTTCTTTCAATAACTTTTCTTCACTTTGTCTTTCTGACCTCCTTCCATGATTTCCCGACCATATGCTCAGCTCACCTGCTGTTTAGTAACATAGGGTAATTCACTTCCTCTCTACACTTTTTGACACTACAGTCACAAAAATGCAGCATAATATCAAATACCTACAATAGGAAACTGCATGTCAAATCAAAACAGACTGAAATCTCCTGTAAATGTACTGGAACACTAGATGATCTAAGTCATATCCTTAACACACCCATTGAGATGAAGACAGATGGATACACAGGGACCTGTCTGGAGCTTGTCACTAAGTGTCACTTTGAAGAAATTTAATCACTTCAGTGAGTGGAGGCAAAAGAGTTACTATGAAGTCAGCAGGAACTTTCTGCATTTGAGGTTGTTCCCAGAAAGTTCCTTTACCTTTCTGTTTTTACAGAAATTGGAATAGGCAGGACAGACTCAGAGAGAAGTCGTGATGAATCAAAAACAGAAGAGCCAAGTGTCAGGAGAGATGGCCAGGCATCCCCACAGTTGGCCAAGATGAAGGTCACTTCTTTTGAAGAAGTTCTTTTGGTAAAGAACATGGAAAGTGATCTATAAGATGCATCGGTCAGGTTTATGACGTCGATAGGAGGAGAATACAGGTAAGAACCGGTAGAAGTGTTCACCAGCAGCTTTCTCATTCTTGTTTGAATCTCTCAGGAAAGAGTACAGACCAGTGCTCTGGTCAGTTACCTCAGCAGTAGTACCTCTCAGCCAATGTCAATGGGAGCCAGGTCCTGGGGCAATGAAACCTTTTTATTCCTTATGAATGATCCCTAGTTCTCCTTGGTTTTCCATCCTGCTTCTCACCACCCCAGACTTTTACTCGCTTATCATAATTGTTTGTGGGGGGTTGTCATTTGATGACACTTCTTTCATGATTAACATGAGTGTAGACATTGTCTACCCATGGAGCAAAACTCTAGACCCACCTACATAGGGGGGGCATGAGAAGTAACATGGGCTAAAGGACTTGAACAACATTGTCCAATGAGAACCCAGAAGGAAACCAGTAATTATTAGAAAAATGGTCATGAGACAGTCTGCAGTGTGCTTTACTATTTGTGTGGTCTGATGGATTCCCAAATGGGACATTTTCCCACCCCACAGTTCCTGAGAACTAATAGGCTATTGAGCTCTGATGTTAGATGCTGAGGGTGTGGTAAGACACAAAAGAATAGCCTAGGAATTAGAAGGGAAATAATTCGAGGTCACAGGTATTGGTCACACATGCCCACATGAACAGTCTGGTGTATGATGTTGTAGTTCTCCTGTCCTCCTGTGAGGACTGGCAGATAACACGCTACATAGGAAAAATCACATCATCCCCAGGAGAAATATCAGACTTTTATTATACTGTTTGTCTCACTCTGTTTTCTTGTATTTTTACATATTTTATAGCCTTTGGTACTCTAATTTCTGTTTATATGTTCTTTAGCCTACTTTCAGTTTTGTATGCTGATTGTAAGCTACCCTGCTCTGTCCTCTGTCTCTTCAGGAGATGGCATGGAAGAATTGTCTGTATTCTGTCAATCATGTTTTAAATAAACGCTGATTGGCCAGATATTAAGTATAGGTGGGTCAACCAGACAGGAAGTAGAGCAGGGCTATGAAAACAGTGGTATTCTGGGAAGCAGGAAGCTCCCCCCAACCCCCGCAGTTCTGCCCTTCGAAGAAGCAAGATGTGAGCTGCCCTGCTGAGAAAAGTCCTGAACCATGTGGCTAACATAGATAAAGATAATGGGATAATATACATTACAAGAGCTAATAAGAAGCCTGAGCTAATGGGCCAATCAGTTTCATAACTTATGCAGACATCTGTGTGATTTTCTTTGGGGGCTTGCCAGCTGTGGGGTACCAGGCAGAACAGACACCCCAACGAGCAGGCCCTTATGTTACAAAGAGAGACCATCATTGCCTCTTTGACTGCCTCCTACCTTTCTATACTGAACCTTCTTATTGCATTTCTACCTCGGTGACCTCTCCATGACCTCTCACACCTCCAAACCACAGGCTCTCTTACTCGTTCACACTTCACCTTCTTTCTTCTCTTTTTCATCACTTCCTTGTTTTCCTACTTAAATATCAATACTCTTAGATCTAAAAATTCATCCCCAGGCACCACTGTGACACCACTGTTGCTGAACCATGAGAGGAAGCCAATGGTAATGCAAGTGTCCTAAGAATAGGGAGTCAGGACTCTTGATAATTGAGTAGGGCCACTATTGTGTGCCTCCCAAATAACTGCAGAAAAGTTAAAAAAATAGCAAAAAACCTCCAGAAGGGCTCACACAGAACAACAGGAACTAAAACTATTAGGAGCATAAAACACAGAGGATGGGGAGAAGCTATGAAATGATGTCTGTTGGACTTGACATGGCTGCTGTAATCATTAACTCATAGAAGGTGAGACTACCTGCCCAGGCTAGGGACAATCAACATCTCCACATAGATAGGGAGAACCTTGTGAGGCCCCATCCCTCCTGTAGAAGCAATGGACTATTAATATTGCTGAGAAAAGGAACTCATATTAATCAGTCTCAGCCATGTGTAAGTTGTCCTTGATCAATTAAATAACCACACCCCACCTGTGCATTTGCAAGCAATCCTAACAAAAGTCCTTGTAACACACACACACACACCAAGAACACACACACATACACACTCACACATTCATGAAAATGAAGAGAGATGAGGAATTCTTTTTTTTATTGAGAAAAGGAGAAAAAAAAACAAGTTTCCACCTCCTCCCAGCCTCCCATTTCCCTCCCCCTCCTCCCACCCTTCTCTCCCTCCTCCCACCCTTCTCCCCCTCCCCCCACTCCTTTCCCCCTCCCTCTCCAGTCCAAAGAGCAGTCAGGGTTTTCTGCCCTGTGGTAAGTCCTAGGTCCTCCCCCCTCCGTCCATATCTAGGAAGGTGAACATCCAAACTGGCTAGGATCCCACCAAGCCAGCACATTAAGCAGGATCAAAACCCCATGCCATTGTCCTTTGCATCTCACCAGCCCTCATTG